CAAATACATTTGCTTCTCAGGATCACAGACTCCAATCTTTTTGTATCTAGAAGACAAAACTGGAAAAGACTATATTCAGATATGTGTGGTGGGGCAAGGGATGAGGAGACATTAATGAGATCATGGGATAGTCCATATGGTTTTAAATTATTAAAAGTCCTACATATTGCTCCAAATTCAGGTACCTGGAACCACAGGAATTTGAGGACAGGTCAATACTGGCATTTAACTCTTGGTTTTCAAGAACATCAAGGCCTGTGTGGTAAGTTGGATGATGGCCCTGACAAAGATGTTTATGTCCCAAGCCAGAACCTATGAATATATTACCTTATATGTCAAAAGATACTTTGCAGATGTGATTGTTAAGGATTGTAAAACAGAGATTATCCTGGATTATTGAAGTGGTCTCAACATAATTATGAGTGCCTTCATAAGAAGGAGGTAGAAGGGTCAAAGTGAGGAAGAGGTGATACATCCATGGTAGCAAGCAATTGGACTGATGTGGACATGAGCCAAAGAATGCTGGCAACTTCTAGAAGCTGGAAAAGGCAAGGAATAGATTCTCTCCTGGAACATCTAAAAGGAACCAACTTTGTTGACACCTTGATTTTAGCCTTGTAAGACTTATTTCAAACTTTTGACCTCCGAAACTGTAAGATAATAAGTTTATGTTGTTTTAAGCCACTAAGTTTGTGGTTATTTGTTACAGGAGCAATGGGCAACTAACACAGCCCATAAAATTAAAATGGCTGACATAGCAAAAGTGGTTGGGCTGCTTGTGAGGAAAGCTGATCTGTCCTAACTCCCTTTGGCCTGTCGGAATAGTCCCAGTGAATTTGCCTTCAGGAGGCATACTCTGACCTGCTCTGCACAGTCTAAATACAAGGCCCATCTAACATCAGCAGACTCATTTGGCCCATCTAAAGGCTCCACATCTGCATCTCCCATGTTCACTAGTTGATGCTGATGGCCCATGATAGCCAGCTGAAGACACATACTGGACAAGCAGACCTCCTTTGCTCATTTGGTGTCTATCCAGTCTGGGGTGCAATGTTTACCAGCTTAGATGTTGGTCTATTCAGGGCAGTGTTGCTGAGGTCCTTTCTGTTTAGTTCCACTGACATCCCACAGCTGAACCTATGGGACTCTTAGGCACTGTTTAAGATGCCAGGCACTATTAGCCATATTTTTTTTCTCAATTCATATAGCCCAGAATAATATTGGATATTTTGGGGATTTCTAAGTTGGTCCCAGTACAATATAGTGTCTAAAAGAAACATGATTTTGACATCCAAAGCTTAAAGAGTAATATAGATCTTGCACCACATGCCACCTAGCCAAACTTCCTAAAAACCCTCCTGACTTTCTGTCTTCCTAGGCTGTCAAGGCATCTTTTGAAAACCTCTTCTTTTTACCAGCTATACTCCATAGCTCCAAGTTGACTTTCTGAAGTTTTCTCTTCTTCCCCTGACTCCCTTCTGCTTTTCTTAAATTAGTTCCCTGCCCTATCTAAGCCAAAAGCAATTCCACCTCTCTCAGCTCCCATTAATTTCCCCCCTCACCCATTACCCAGATGGACACAACAGAGGCTGAAGAACTGAGCAGTTTGAACGAAAATTTTTCCTGGGAGATTAGGACAGAGAAAGGCTGTGGATATTAGATATTTATATTTTTGATCCATGTCATAACTGAGAAGTAAGAAAGCCCAGGAAAATGTGTTTGGAGGAAATTATGGGTGGAAATGATACCTCTTAGTTCCCCAAAGACAAAACTGTCTTGAAAACACCGCTGTTTCCTTCCAATAGAAATCCTAAAATATTCAAGATGGCACTCTTTTAAAAAAAAATTAGGCTGTCCCTTAGCACAAGGGGCTGGGAGATAGTGAACCTCAGTTGATTAAGGTCTTGGATTGCAGAGAAGGGCTAGGTAGACAGGAACAGTAAAAGACTAAAGAGGTGAACAGTGGTCAATGGAGCAAGTGGGATTTAACATTTGGCACTTATCGATGATGCTTGTGATTTCCTTTACCATTTAGCCATGCCACCTGATATGATCTAAATGTTTGTGTTCTCCCCAAATTTGTATGTTGAAGTTCTTCCCTCGAAGAACTACACCAAATCTGCTGGTGCTTCAACAGTGAGAAATAAATTTCTACTGTTTATAAGTCACTCAGTTCATGGCATTTTGCTATAGCAGCCTGAATGAACTAAGACACAATTTCATTATTTTTTATTTCCTATCTCTGCCTTATGAAGTGTCCTTATTGACTTGTTACACAGTGACACTTATGGAGGCTTGAGGACAGATCCTAGAAACCTCTCCTTAAATCTCATGTGCTTCTGGAAACTTCCCTGCATCTTATGTTTTTCTCTCAAAGCACTGGCAAGAGCCACAATAAATGCATTGCTTGGCATCTACAGTAGATTATGTGCTCCACGAGTTGGGCTGTGCCTGTCTCGTTCACTGCTGAATCCCAATATGATGCCTACCAGCACATAGTGTGTGCTCAATAAGTATGTGTTGAATGATTGTAAAAATATAAGGTGATGACTGCTCACAAAATTTTAAAAAGTACCTTATTTTTTCTTCTATTCTAAAAGGTTGATGGATAATAGCTAATATTTATAGAGTGCTATGCTAATCCCTTACCTATATCACCTCACTTTTCCTGTTAACTCCGTAAGGCAGGTACTCTAAGTCAGAGAGTAAATGACACAAGGTTTAGGGGTACCCTATTCTCTTTGGTGGCATCAACCTATCAAAATTCTCATCGTGTTGCTCTGTGGACTGTTAAGCTACCCCATTTCTCTTATTATTTTCTTGCTTCCACCTCACCACCCAAGGATACACCCATACCACTACACTCTACCAACATTTCACCTATGGATCTCAGAGGTTCTTGGAAAACATGAGGCCCGTTAATAGGGAAACAATTCCCATTGAGGTGCGTCTGTAAAGGAGTGTAAATTAATAATAGTTTCGTATGGGTCATACGAGCATTGAGTGGAGTCTTGCTTGAGTGGTCCGTGACCCACCTTGAAGGAACTCTAAGTTCTCTCAAGCCAACTTTTCATACAAAGCCCCAAAATTGCCTTCAGAAACTTGGCTCTAGGCTTAGACAACTAGTTCACTCCAGCTGTCACTTTGAGACCTGCCTTTGAATTCTGAAGAGAATAGTCTTGGTCAAGGAAATGAACCAAGCCCTGAGCTCTGATGGAGGAAAAGGAATTGTTACTGTTATCCAACACCTTCTTTTGTTTCTGGCCTATTCCTCTAATTTCTCCAAGCTAAGGGACGTGCCTTGCATTTTTATCACCACCTCAGTGTAAAGTGGTCAGTATAGTTTTAAAAAAAAAAATAATTCATTCAATGTTGATGTCCTGCTTACTAGAATTATATCATAGTCATCAGAGATTAAAAGCTGACAAAAGAGCTGTGATTTCTATCTCCTAATGAGGATGCCATTTTTCCAATAAAGTTTGGCACTGTTCTTGTCAATAAGAACGTTGACATAGCAGGAGATACACATTGCCTTGGGACGGACTGGGAGAAGGGTTATTTCTTGAGAAGGCTTTTTTTGCCCTTTACCAGCCCATTCTTACCTGCTCCAGGTAGTTCTACCAAATGGTAGCTGGTCTTGGTACCCATTTCTCAGAAAATCAAAGGCATCCAAAAAGAATTTGTCATTTACATTATGTAATACCAAATCTTGTATTTATTTATCAGAGACTTGAGAACAATTTGGACATGTGAACAAAACCTTCATGTCTTGACTGGTTAGTAATCTTTTAAATGAATTTGAATATAAATACTCTTCTATTCCCTAATGTCTCATGCCTGCAGCTCATATTTGACCACCTGATTCCTGAAGACATTAGATTTTGCTTATAAAGACATTATATTATGCTTATGAATGCACATTCCTCTCTCACTTTGATTTTTCTATTATTAATCTGTAGAGGGGGCTCCTTCATTGAGCCAGAGGTTGAAATATTTCCAGAGTTCCTTCCAAATCTGATTTGTTTTCTTCTACATAAAGAATAGTACAGAAATACAACTATCTAAAAGTAGTTCCTTTACCTAACAGGAACAGGTTCACAGAGATATCTCCATTCTATCTATAGAAAGCAAACCTCAAGTCCACAACATCTTTTATGCGACAAAGGACAACTATATTTTTGGGGAGAGGGGTAAAGTGAATACTATTGGTGCCCCTCCCTGGATCCCAGCTACTGGGAATTCTGGATGATCTCAGTTCACAGCAGCAGCACCCATGCAAGGTAACACCATCTCCCAGAGGGAAGCTAATGAGGGATACAGAGGCCAGATCTCCTTACCTCAATGGGAAACAATTCTGAAGAGCCTTCCCAGCTCACCCTTAGGATCTGCTTAGGCCTCAGTTACAAATGCTTTGTAGGTCAATTCTTGTCCAATCCTGCCTTTCTTAACCCTGTAGTTTTATTTCCTGAGAGCTGTCCCCAATAAACTTTCTGCCCTGACTCTTCATCTCAGTCTGTTTCCAGAATATCCAACCTAAGACAAAAGTGTGACCCAAGATATAGAGAAGCAGAATGACTTACCCCAGCCATACTGATGAGCAAACACAGAGTTCTGGCAACAAATGTATAAGTCACATAATGCTGCCATGAAAAAAACCCTTAGAAGCCATCAAGTGTAACTCACCTTTTTCTGGATGGAGAGACTGAGGCAGAGAACCAAAGTGATTTGCTCAAGGTATTATAAGCTAATTAGGTGAGAAAGCTTCAATTAGACTCCACATTGACTGATTGTAGCCCAGGCAGACAATATTCTAGCATTTAATCAGCTCCCAGGAAACTGATAAAACATGAAAGTCAAACTGAACTATGAGAATTTGGAATCAATACAAAGTGGCTTTTTAAGCCCATCATCCATGGACAATGCTTCATTGTGACTTTCTCTTGCTGTAAGAAGCCATTTAACCTTGGGACTATCGACTAAATAGAGAAGCCAGGTCTGAGTCAGGGGTGGTTTAGCACTTTATTAACCAACAAAACTACCATACAGGCAAAATCATGCTTAAATGGCAAAACACACACATGCATACTCTTACATGTAGCATTGAGGCAGATTTCAGACATAACACTAGGCACCAAGTTCACAAACAAACTAAATGTAGTTCACAGTCCTTTGATATTTTTTCTTTGCTATAGCATAAATCCTTATAGAACAGTTGTGACAAAAAGTTTAACTTTTAAAATCTAATTCTCATTCTTACTGTGGAGTGAGGCCAACTCAGCCTCCAGAACTGTGAAGCAGTTGCTTTAACAGGGCCATGCTCTATCAGTTGCTGAAACTGGCCAATTTCTTTGGGTTGGAGAAAAAAAAACTATAGTATCTTGGTGTTGGAAGATCTCCTATATGGTGGGAGTTCTCAGCTCCAATTTCATGTCTATGCACATCTGGACTGGCATTTATTTTGATACTCAATCTGTAGCTTAATAGGGCTGATCTAATTAGGATAAGTTAACTGGTTTTCTAAAAAGTTTGAGAAGAGGCTAAACTGCATATTCAGTTTTTCAACATTCAAGACTTGGACATATTAACAAACTGATTACTGTTAAAATTGTTGCCAGTTAAGAAGCTTTTCTCAAAAGGTGTGTCAGAACAACTTATCAGTTAATGAAGAGAAACAACTGAAATAGATTAGGGCTGTGATTTCTCAAAGCAGTTTGGTATGATATGTGGCAACAACTCATGTACTAGAGCACATCCAAGACATTGCCAAAACTCCTAAGTTAGCTAAAACACTTTCTCAATTGAAAGGCAAATAGTGGCAGAAAAATCCTTCTCTTTGCTCTCAAGATAGGCAAAACAAAGACCTTAAGTCCTCATGCCAGGCCCATATCTTAATTTTGGATTTATGATAGGGGTAATTATGTAATACACTTGGGGTGGTTTCCTCTGGCAATCTTTAATTACCATTCAATAAAAAAATAGATCAGGTTAAAGGGTATTTGAAGATAACTACAATACGAAATAAAATACTGAATATGGGAGAATATAGAAGGAATAGACTCAACAGCTATGAAATAATCATGTGATATTTTGTAGAGGGGCAAACACAATGGTATCACTCTATTATAAAAGTATAAAATAACTGAGACATATAATGATTGACCTGATTAATAAAAAAAGATGAATTTGAATCTGGCTTGTTTAATAATGTGTGGAAGTATTTTATGTTATTTAAAATTTTTGGCACATAAAAGTGTAAGCTTCAGCTACCTAGAAACTTCATTTAAAATGAAATGCTCATTCATCAATGATTCAGGATAAGGTATTACTGCTTATCCACCACCTGTATACCCGAGTCCACTGAAACTTCTCAACTGTTCTATTTGATCACATCCGTGTTAATTTTTTCCAAGATATTTACGTTAAGAAATGTTTTATGGCTGAAACCTTTGGAAGGGGTTTTAAAAATGTGACACTTTTAAAATGGAAAAAACAAGAGGTGGGAACTGTTCTGGGCCCACATTACTTCTTAGAGAACTTAGTCTTCATATGTGAAATCATTCAATTTCATGATTTCATAAAACTTAGTAACTAAAGCAAGTGAATTTATAATATAGGGTCCTAATTTCCTTTCTGCATTTGATAGTCTCAACAAATAATAATAAGAAATTTATAATATGTATTTCAGTTGTTTGAGAGACATTTTTATGCCAATATTTACTCAAAGGTAACCACGTTGAAGACGTTTAACAGATCTGCCTAATTCTATCATAGTCATAGGAAAAAAGAAAATATATATGCTACTAGGGGCCTTCAGACAGCCAGGGTCTACCTGAAAAAAGAGGAAAATACTGCTTTCCAGAAATAAGTAGAGAATGTTATCATTGATGATGACTGAAGTGATGTTTAGACATATTCCAGGAGGAAGAGAAGATGCCTCATGCACAGTTAGTCAGAGAGGCCTCTTGAGGACAGTCCTACTCTAGGACTAGTTTACTCTGATTACCTGGGGAGCTGCACAAAAGTCACAGTAAGTCAATTTAATCATTATGCCTTGGTAAACACTGTCCTCTTTAAGAAGCAAAAAGGGAAAATATACAAAGAGGGTAGTGCTAAGACTAGATGTCTAGAAACTTCACAGGAATTAGAAGTGGTCAGGAGATTCTTGAGGCAACGGCCCACAAAATGTCCCCCTATTGGTCTACCTACACTGCTTTCAAAGTGGGAGCTGCTCACCCCAGGAAGTTGTGAGCCTGTGGACTCTGAACCTACAGTTCATCATTTCCTAAAGCCAGCAAAGGTCGGTCACAGGCTGGGCCTTCACCTACTCAACCTCTACAGTAAGTTAAATGCTTCATTTCTGCAATCATCAGGCATTTTATGTTAAAGAGAAGAAAAAGAGGGCACGGAAATTGTTTCTGATTAGCACTTTAACTTCAAATCAAGAAATTGATCACAAGGCTTCTTTTATTCTACCAATCAACACAAATTAATCTACTACATAGACAAATAAGATGGAGCTTGATCTTACTGATTTTAATGAGGGGACTCTGTAGATTACTTTAACACTGAGGCTCAACTGAGGGGTTACATCCAATGTACGTAAGAAGATCTAACGATAAAGCCATTATTTGTCAACATTTTGCTTCTGATGGTACTGGAAAGGAGTAAGCATAAAACATGAGCCTGAAACTTCAGGACCGTGTTAGCAGCCTAAACTTGCATGCCAGAAAACACAAGGCTGTTACTGATGTGGAGAATCCAACGATCTTCAGCAGGCCTGACACGGAAGGCAGGTTCCTTTCCCAGAAGGTGTGCGTGATTTCAAAAGCTGGGACATCCTAGATGAATGAACATAGATCATTAGCAGAAAATACTTGAACTGACAAGGAGGGGAAAAACATATCTGTAAAGTCAGTGCACAGATATGCCCTAGAGAGTGGCACCTATAATTACATCAGAGGCTGTAGAAGATGAAAGAGGAGAGTTTTAATATAGTTACTGGTCTATTGAGATGAAGCTGCCAAACTTACCTCTGATTCGGGTTCTTGAATGCAGATGTCTTGCTTTGGCAGCCTCCCCAGAGCATTCAAGACCTGAAAGAAAGTGTCCATGGTATTATGAAATGAGATTTTGTAGTTTTGACAGATTCAAGGCCCTGATGGCCATAGTTGAGCCCTATGAATGGAGTGAGGGGGCAGAGAAGTAGACATACAGATTTATCAGTGTCAAGATCTAGAAAGGCCAGATGCCAAAAACGCTGCTGGACTCACGAGGGAGAGTGACTCAGCTTTCTTCCTTACCTGTCTAGCTGCCCGTTCTCCTGCTTCTACTGCTCCCTCCATGTAACCGCTCCAGTGTGTAGCTGTCTCTGTTCCAGCAAAGTAAATCTTGCCTACTGGTTGACGAATCACCCTTCAGGGAAACAGAGAGTTCACACAGAGTTACCTGAGAAGGCACTGAGTGTTAATGGGCCACTCGCTGCCACTATTTACCCCATAGAAGACAGGGTAACTCAAATTGTTTCAAAAACTCCCATGCAAGCTAGCTACAGTGAAAGCCTCCTCCTTGTTTCCTGGGCCTGCACTCAAGGGTCTAAATTTTCAATCCAGAGAGAATCAGTCTGTCAAATCATCAATTTCTAAAGGTGATGCTGACTTTTTTCTTGTCATTCAGAATTGGAAGATAAGGACATGCATTAAATCCAAAATCAGTTTTATTTGCTGTATGTTTCCTGTTTGTAGTTCATTCTGCTCCCTACGCTGTCTTTTCAAAGGGGTGCATTCTTCATGAGATCACATCTGATGGAAGACCTCAGCTATTCAGACACTCCCAGGGAGTCGGGAAGAACTGTAGTGGTGAGTGAGAAGACAAGGAGATTAAATGATTTCTGGCAAAGAAGAGGCCTGAGAGATTATATGTCTGTCTCCTTAAAAAGCAGTTAGCATCTATAAATTTATCAGGCTAGGGACAGGGAAATGGGCCTTCTCTTTTAAAGAGGTTTTGGCGAAGAGAACCATGGTAAAGCTGCGCTGAATGGGCAACTTCACCGCCCCCAACCTTGTTGGCTTCGATTCCTACCACATCTACAGCCACTTTCATGAAATCTCTAAAGCTGCACATCTCCACCCCAAAGGCCTTCACCTCAATCCACTGTCACACAGTTTTCTAGTTTAGGAAAATTTGGCTTCATGTATTCCTGATACTAGTCTCATCTTACAGACTTCTACTTTGACTTCAGGACTACTCCAGTTAATCAATCCTATTATCACTAACAAAAGGCATTTGATTTAATTAATGAAAACAAACAAACAAACAAAATCTCATGTAAAGAAAGGGTTAACAAATTCTTTTTCCTTCTCTGTGGACAAATGGGACCTTGAGTTAACTTTCTAGCTTTGTCCCCTTGGAAACCTGATTAAAGGTATAATGCCATCTATGTTACCAGGCAACACTGTTTATGCTAAAAATGCCTCGCCAGCCCCACAATGGTAAGTTGCATCTAGGCTGGGAAGACTGGCATGAATTGTAAATACCTAGTAGGAGTTTATCACTTTGGGCTTCGTTGAGTGTGGTGCCTCTTATAACTAACTGGGTATGTCCCTTGCAAGGACCCTGGATACTATGTCTGTGAGGCTTTTACAAGAGATGATGGCTCTTATGGAGCATGGGACTTTTAAGCCATGGTGGACTCCCCCACCCTGTGTGGCTATCACACCTTAGCTGTATACAGCAGGGATGCCTCCCTGCTAAAGAATATATGATGCTGTTCTGTTGGCAAGATGTATTTAGCCCATGTCCTTTTGTGTAGACTGGTATCCAGGGGCCTAGGGTAGTCATAGGTGACTAAATGTCTAATTGACCTCAAGAAGGATCCTTTGAGGACATTGCAGCTTTCAGAATTCTCATATGTACTGAAATTCTTAACCCATGTTCTGCTATCATTCTATGTGCTGACAGCTATTGTTCTATGTACCTACATACTTATTTTCCTATAGATATCTAGAATATACAAACTGATTACCTGGGACATAAGACATAGGAATTTTGACTACTATTTCTAAAATTCCCATTGAACTTTGCTTATTTTTTTAAGTTTGGCGCATATCTTGTATTAATCAGTATAGTGTCTAGGTAGTACCTTCCATATTGAGTCATAATCCCAGGGGGGAAGTAGGCAGTGTAGCAGCCCCCAGAGTACTGCTCTTCGCACCAGTTCTTCTCTTCGTAGTGCACTGGCTGTTGTTCAGTGGGGAAAAATTCCAAAGGAAAGACAAAGCTGAAATGCTGCCAGTCAACAATGAAGGCTCTTGCGTATGTTACTTTAACAAAAAGTTTACATTTTTAAAAAAATGGTGGCCCTGTTTTTCTAACACACTTAAGGAGAAATATGACAGTACAAAGTAATGGCCTTTTGTGAGGAACCAAGAGACAAAACACATATACTTTGACTTTCTCAACCCCTTCACTAGGGGAGGGATGAAGTATTCTGATACTTGGAAGAAAGGACATCTCCACGCAAATTCTGAAATCTTTAGACCTCAGTCTACAGGAAACCCCATCAACAATCAAGTTCTGGAAAGGTGTGCCCAAATCTCTGGATTTTCTAAATAACAGATTTTAATTCCCCATCTACCAAGATATTACTGCTGAAAACAATGGTGGAAGGGAGGAGCTAGAAGATAGGCATAGTGTCTAAGAAAGACTCTTTTCAGAATCACTTCTCTAAGCTAGAAAAGTGAATGATAAGAATCTTGCTAAAGCAGGGAGAATTAAAGATAAAAAAGGTTTCTCAAACGGCATAAGAGAAACTTCTCTGATTTCCCTAACACATTCTGTATTATTTGAATAGTTCAGAAATAATCCCCTAAAAGAACCCCCAGGTATCTGGTAAGATCTTCAGAAAGAATTTCATCCTCATAATTACTTTCAGTGGTAGATTGAAAATACTGAAATTCCTAATGAGCTGTGAAGTGAATCTACAGATGGAAAAATAAATTAGTATGACTTTGACCTGGGCAGAGAATCTAGATTGTTATATTGTCAAGTGTATATGACAGTGCCTTCACTAACAAAAGATGACATATCTAGGGTTTTAATTCACAGCCGTCAGTTGACATTGACAGAAGGGCAGGACCTTAGTTCTGGGAACTGACTGCATCCTCCCTGGAGATAATACTTGCAGCTCCATGCTCTGATTACAACTGGCTGCCAGTTACCCATTGAACATTTAAATAGCCCGAGGAACCACTACATCAGAAATTACTGGCACCTAACAATAGTTCTTAATGTCCTTTTGTGATTGCTGAAGTTAAACCTCTAGTAAGCATACCCCTTATACTCTCTTCATAAGACTGTCAGGAAACCAGAATCTGCTTTGCTTGATTATTTAGAGCAAATAGAGCAGAACCTACTAGGTATTAAAACTGGGGGTTCTTACATGTAAAGCTTCTTCAGATTCTAGAACTTTGGAGTACAGCTCACAGATTTTCCTCTTCCTATTAAAAAAAAGAACCAAAAATGTTAAAGATATTAATTACTAATGAATATAGATAAACACAGTGAGTTACAGGGCTCTTGTCAATGAACCAGATTTATCAAGGAAAAATGAAAATCAATAGCTTTATGAATCTGCTCTCAAATTAACTCTATGCCTCAATATAGCCATTTGATTTAAAGATTCAACAGCATTTCCTACTTTTTTACATTTTCACTTCTTTTACTACACAATACCATATCTATGCGAGATTAAAATGGGGAAAATGATTTTAAAATAAATCCAGTGATTTTAGGAATTGATTCTAAGTCATTTTCCTGGAATATGTAGAATTCTAGAATAATCCCTTTTATAAGTCTATAGCACATATGACAGTGTCTTTTAAAACATCCTACATTTATGTTTTACAGATCCTATGTACATATAAAGCTCATTCCTGAAGTGATGCCACACAATATTACGTGCCTATTTAAGTTCCAGTACAGACAGGAAATGAATGGTTCCCCTTCAAGGAGCTGTTCATAGTACAGATCAATAATTGTAAAGGAAAGGCAGAACTGGAAGTTTCAAAACTACTATCTGCCTGTCTGTCTCTCTCTAACCTAGGCCCCTCATTGCAGAGATGAGGAGATGGAGGCTCAGTGCACTGAAGAGACTTGTTCAGCACCACTCAGCTAATTAATGGTAGGGCTGAGGCTCAATTCTCCTGAGCATTCCATCTGTAGCAAGTAAGTACTCAATAAAAATTTATTGAATCAAAATCCATCCTTGGCCTAGTATGGTACCCTCTTTCTTACTCTATGAGGTAGATATCTGATTCTTACCTACTTAACATGAATGTTACAAGGAATAATTCGAACATTTTGAGTCAATTAGAAAGCAAAATTATTGACAACCATTCTGAAATGCTTAATGAGGCTTAACTTATTTTTGGAACATGTAATAAAACCTTTATTAAACAGAAGGAAAGCTAAAATCCAATTAACCTACAGTACAGCTAACTTTTCATTCATGAATGATAAACCAGTAATAATAGAAATGTCATTATATACTATTTCATATTATTAGATGAGTCAAGGATGAGTTCATTAAATACATGAGGAACCATCCTTTCCTTTAAAATTAAAAACTTTTGAAAAAGTTATGTAAGACAAGGATGTTGGAGCAATGAACTGACTGATTTGTTGAGCTCTAAAAACAACAGAACCTATTTTAATGATGGCCGAAAGGATCACTGTGCAAATCTCGTAGTTGAATTTATTCACTGGTTTCTAAATCTGGCTGCTCATCATAATTATTTGAAAAGCTTGTTAAAAAATACAAATACTCAGGTAGTTTCCATGCGATCATTCAGAATTATAAAACTGTCTGCAGAAATTTGAAAAATGGCAACAAATGAGTGTCAGCATCTTTATTTCAGTATCCCTGGCTGTGGAATATGTAGATTCACTTTTACCTGAGAATTCTCTGCAAGAACCATTTAAAAATGCTTGGAACTATACGTTAGATAATTATACAATATCCCAGATTGCAACATGGGGATCTCTAGTAGTTCATGAAGCCCTTTATTTCTTGTTCTGTTTACCTGGATTTTTGTTTCAATTTATACCTTACATGAAAAAGGTACAAAATTCAAAAGGATAAACTAGAAACATGGGAAAAACAATGGCAATACCTTAAAGTACTTCTCTTTAATCACTTTTGTATCCAGTTTCCTTTGATTTGTGGAACTTATTATTTTACAGAGTATTTCAATTCCTTATGATTGGGAAAGAATGCCAACATGGTATATGCTCTGGACAGGATGGTTTGGTTATGAGATAATTAAGGATACCTGGCACTATTTCCTAAATAGGCTCTTCTTACACAACAAAAATATATAAGTGTATTCATAAAACTCATCATGAGTTTCAGGCTACATTTGGAACGGAAGCTGAATATACACGTCTCTTGGAAACACTAATTCTTGGTACTGGGTTTTTCATTGGAATCATGCTTTTATGTGATTGCATAGTCTTTTGGGGGGGGGCGCATGGGTGATCATTCATTCGCTAGAAACAACTGATGTCCACAATGGTTATATTCCTCTCAATCCTTTAAATCCCATCCCTTTCTATGCTGGTTCTCGGCATCATGATTTTCACCACATGAACTTCATCGGAAACTATGTTTTGACATTCATATGGTGGGATAGAATTTTTGGAGCAGACTTTCAACTTATTTCCTACACTGAAAAGATGAAGTAGGTTGAGAAAAAGACTGAATAAATATGTAAACCTTCCCAAAGATATACATTTTCCTGAATTAAAACTAGTAGCTAACATTGCTTTTGGGGAGCAGAAATAAACATGTGTCTTAGCTGCTAAGTGATAAAAAAAATTAACAATCTTTATCTTCCCAGTAGGAACTTTTTCTCCTTTCCATCTAAGTTCTTTATGTGTAGAAATAAGAAAAATTTAAAGGCCATGTTGCCAATCTTACGAAAAGGTTTTACATAATGGAAGAAGTATTAATCTATGTCTTTTCTCCAGTTATACCATAGGCCTGACGTTGAAATTGGTCTTTAAATCTTTTAAATATATAGTGGCCATTTCAAAAAATCTTAATAGTGGATGTTGGCCTCATACTGAACTTTAAATATTTTTTTTTTAGAATTTGCCTAAAGATCAAAATATGTGTTTAATGACATCAATTGATACAGTGTGAGTGAGGCTGCAAAACTGGGAATAGCTAACATCAAGGATTTCCACTCTTGTCTGGAGTTGACCAATTTGGGGTGCTTCTCTTTCTCTAAGAAGTCCTTTTGGATTCCAATGTACTACTGGCATCTATAAATTCAGGTAATTCTGAATTAATGTAAGTGAAATAGTTTAATCTAAAGGTTTTCAAGGTTCTTGAATTTTTTTTTTAAATGAAGCTTTATTTCTATTTACTATTTAAATTTTGAAAATCAAGTTTTTATTATACTTAATGCTGTATCTTGAAACTTTGTGAACTGACTTGGTGTATTTGCACTTTGAGCTATTGAAATAAATGATTTTATTTGGTATGAAAAAATACAAATACTCAGGCCCCACCTCTAACCTACGAAATTATAATCTACTGATCTCAGAAAAATATATTTTTCCAAACATTATTTTTTTTTAATTTAAGTATAGTTGATATATATTAGTTATATTAGTTTCAGGTGTACAATATAGTAGTTGGACATTTTTATATCTTACAATGTGATCATATGAAACCATATGATATTTATCTTTCTCTGGCTTATTTCTCTTAGCACAATACCCTCTAGGTCCATCCATGTTGTCACAAATGGGAGGATGTCATTCTTTTTATTACTGTGTAATATTTCATTGTATATATGTATCACATCAAACATTCTATGGGAGATTTTGATGTAATTGTTTCTGGGAAATGTTGTTCCAGTCAATAACATATTCAGAGTTCTAAGGGTTTTGCCTTATAAAAACTTTTGAGAATTTCAGCCACCATGTGGAATCATAACCAAGTGTCTACATCCAGGCTTGTATTTATTTTACTATTAATAAGGAAGGAAAGCAGGATATCCAAAAGAAAATGTCAAGTTTAGTATGGCATAATGAAAGAAAGTATACATTAGATGGTATTCCTGAATTTGTCACAGGGTAGCTGTGGAGCCTTGGCCAAAGCATTCCCTGTCACTGAACCCCAAATTCTTCTTCTATTAATTGATAGGTGGACACTAAAATAGTTCCCTTCTTGACATCACATCTCATGGTAGCTCAAATAAACAAATCTGTGGACAAATGTGGAAACCTGCAGTTTATCCCTGAATTCCAAGGTCATCAAAGTAACTCTCAAAGCAAAGCCTGCTAGTAGACTTGCTGCTTAATTTTTTAATTAAATGCAGAAGGAAGTATACATTGGTGTGTGCATTGGTCCACTTCAAAAGCTAACAAAAGATTTAGGGCTACTCTAAATAAGGGAAACCCGGAAATTCCTAGAGGCAGTCTCCCAACAGTCAAATGACTGTTTCCAGGTAAGATTTGAACAAATGACTCCAAGGTAAAACAAAACAACAAAAATATAACATAGAAAGAAATAAAGAAGAAAGAAAGAAAGAAATTATTGTCCTAAAATTGTTTTAAACTAGGCAGCTCTTGAGAAAGGGAATATCAGAGCTATGTCCTAGATAATCTAGATAATTCCCCTAATATGGTACATAAGTTGAAACAGAATGAAAGAAACACATATGTATGGATTTGCTTTTCAGAAAAAGTACACATCAGAGAACCTTGGAACGGGGATAATGGTCTTGGCAAGACGATTGGGACTTGGCCTCTAAAGATTTTTCACAGCTAATGTCTTCTATAATTTTACTCCATCCAACTTACAGAAAAACCCTACCTTTTGACCACTGTAACATAAATTCAAATATGTAAAATTAAATTAATATATACATATGGACAAGGACTGAGTTGAGGGGGCAGTAGCAATATATTTAAAAAGTTGATTTGGCCTACCTCCAAAAAAAAGAACAAGCCCAAATAAACAACCTAATGCTTCATCTTTAAAAAGTAGAAAAGAAAGAACAAATGAAGCCTAAAGTCAGCAGAAGGAAAGAAATAATCAAAATTAGAGCTGAAATAAATGAAATTGAAAACAAACAAAAAAAATAGAAAAAAATAAATGCAACAAATAAATGCAACAATAAAATTGACAAACACCTGGCTAGACTCATTAAAGAAAAAAGAGAAAGGACACAAATAAACAAAATCAGGGATGAAAGAGGGGAAAGTATGACAGACACTGCAGAAATACAAAGAATCATACAAGAATACTATGAAAAAGTATATAACACCAAATTCAATAACCTAGAAGAAATGGACCAGTACTTAGAAAAATACAACCTTCCTAGACTGAACCAAGAAGAAGTGGAAAATCTAAATAGACAGATCAGCAGTATGGAAATTGAAACAATTATCAAAACCTACCAAAAAGTAAAAGTCCAGGACCAAATGGTTTAACCAGTGAATTCTACCAAACATTCAAAGAAGATTTAATACCTATTCTCCTCAAACTCTTCCAAAAAATAAAAGAGAAGGCAATACTTTCCAAATCATTTCAGGAGGCCAATATTGCCCTGATACCAAAACCTGGTAAAGAGAACACACACACAAAAGAAAACTACAGACCAATATCTCTCATTAACACAGATGCAAAAATACTAAATAAGATACTAGCAAACCGAATACAGCAAAATATTAAAAAGATTATACACCACGATCAAGTGAGTTTCATCCCAGGGGCACAGGGATGGTTCAACATACACAAATCAATTAATATGATACACCGCATAAACAAATTAAAAAACTAAGAATCATATGATCACATTAATAGATGCAGAACAAGCCTTCAACAAGATACAGCATCCATTTATGATCAAAACACTTCACAAAATTGGTATAGAAGGAAAGTATCTTAACATAATAAAGGCCATATTTGACAAATCCTCAGCCAAGATTATACTTAATGGTGAAAAACTAAAACCTTTCCCTCTAAGATCAGGAATAATATAAGGCTGTCCACTATTGCCACTATTGTTCAAAATAGCATTAGAGGTCCTAGTGAGTGCAATCAGACAAGAGAAAGATATAAAAAGTGCCTTTTATTAA